GAGCCATAACCCACTTGTAGTTGTAACAGCAACTCACTGGGCAGGGTGGCCTATGCCTATAATCCCTGCACAGGAGTATCTAGGCCAGCTTGAGTTACATAGTGAGACCCTGTCTCGAACAAAACAAAACAATTATCGCTTATACTCTCTCTTCAGCAAAATTAGAGATAAGGGCAAAATAGTTTCTTCCGGGAAGCGAGGGGATGGGGGGGAGAGGGAGGGGGTAGGGGAAGGGGGAGAGAAATGACCCAAACATTGTATGCACATATGAATTAAAATAATAATAATAGAAAGCTTACTAAGCTATTCTTTTGAGGGATGATAGCATGTGAAGTTTGAAGACTCTTAATGACTGTGATACTACTACTCTAGAGAATCCTGGCTGTCAGACATTGTGAACCAGTCCCTTATCTTTGGTAGCACCTTTCTTCAGTAACCACCATGAAGGAGCTGACCTATTAAGTGAGATCACTGCCTGATTGACCTGACAGCTGCTGTTTCATTAAGGTGACTGTACACACGCAATCAGAAGCCAAAATCCTAGCTGCCACACCTCCAGGGTTAGGGAGGAGCTGGAGGTGGAAGTTCAAGGATGACTCAGAGGTTTGTAATCTGTCTGTCCCATCAGTGAATGTAACCTGAATGCACTGTACAAAGCCATTCTGCAGCTTTCTTTGGCAGCCAGTGGGTAGATGAAAGGAGTTGTTAGCCCTGGATGTGACAGCCCTCAAGCCCCTCCTGCATAGAGTTGTTTCCTCTGCTAATGAAATTTAAGGTTTAGTTAAATTTGTTTCCACTTCCTGAGACTCACCCTCATGGTCAAGAAGCCCTTAAAAAGAAAACTGGGGCTTTAGTTTCTGTTCCACTGCCAAAGAGAACTAGTTATTAACCCCCTTCTCAGACTTAACTGCCTTTTTCCTGTGATCCAACACTAGGCAAGAGTTCTGACACTTGATGATTGTATGTAAGAGGCCAACACATTTCTAAAAAAGAAATACTGGACTTGGCTATGCCCAAGGCACTAGTCTAAGATGCTTTCAAGCAAATTATTTCCTTTGGCTTATTTGACTACTCTGAAATTGGCTTTATTATTGTGGTTTTTTTGGACACAGGGTCTCACTGTGTAGCCCAGGTTGACTTTGAACTTCATCCTGTCTCAGCCTCCCTTAAATTGCTGGGATTACAGACATCCACCACTATGTCTGGCTTAGTAGAATGACTTTTGAGGGCCTTTACATTTGCCATTAGTGAAGCCTTAGAATCAAGACTTTCAAGTGGCCCTTTTTTGTGTGTACATGTGGTTTTTTGGTTTTTTTTTTTTTTTAAACAAAACAGTCCTAGATTAAACATTATCTTAAGTGTGGAAATAGGGAAAAAATTGTTGCTTTGGATGTCTCGATTATTTAATAATGGAGCTATGACTAGAATCCAGATGTTCTTCAACTCCATATGTTCGGCATCATTAAAGTTCTAACTTGAATTTTTTCTACTCTACAACTTTGAGTAGTATATTAATTAGGGTTCTTCTAAGAGACAGAACCAGTAGGGTATATATGTATGTGCAAACACACACACATTGATATATAGAGATAATATGAGGGGACTTACTAAGGAAATTGGCTCACATGATTATGGAAGTTGAGAAGTCCCACTGTAGGCCAAGCTATAGACCCTGAGGTGCTAGTAGCATGGCTCAGTCCAAGTCTGAAGTCCTTAGGACCAGGGAGGCTGATATGATAAAATAACTCAGTCTAAATCTAAAAGCCTGAGGAGTGCTGGTTTAAGTAACTCCTGGTGTCCAAAGGCCAAAGAGACCAATTTATCTGTTCTTTTTTGTTGCTGTTGTTCAGGGCAAACCCTCTCATCCTTACCTCCCATTGGATAGTGCATGCCCACATTGAGGGTGGATCTTTCCACTTAGTCCTCTCAGATTCACATGCTAACGTTTTCTGGAGACACCCTCACTCTAGGTATTCCTTCATTCACTCAAATTGACACCTAAAATTAACTATCACACATGGTCTTACTGCCTTTAAAATCCTTACAATTTCTTAGTTGTTTCTAAACTTCAGAATTGGCCAAAAAAAAACCACACAGCCATACCTTTTCTTTATCTTTTTTTTTTTTTGGCAGTACTGGGGTTTGAACTCAGGGCCTTATGCTTGCTCCACCACTCTGCCAGCCTTGTTTGTTTTTGTGTTGGATATTTTTCTAGATAGGGTCTGGCAAACTTACTTGCCCAGGGCTCACTTCAAACCTTGATCCTCTTCATCTCTGCCTGCCAGGTAGCTAGGATTATGGCCATGAGTCACTGGCACCCAGCTTATTTTATATACTTATTATATAAAACATACATAGCAGTTGCTATGTGCCAGCACGGGTTTAAATGCTTTGTAAATACTGACCTTAGTCCTTAATAATAATCCTTTGAGGTTGGTACTATTACTGTTCCCTGTCTGCAGAAAGGGAAAGGAAACTAAGGCAACTGACTATGGCCATAGCCAGTAAGTAACAAAGTGTATTAGAAACATAATACTAGCTTTATTCTTTAGCTGCAAAGGCAAACTCTTTACAAATCAGCATTGATTTGCAAGTTGAAGATCTGGCTAAGAAGTATTGCTGAGGTGAGTGACAGTTCTCTTTGGGTTATTCTGAAGCTCATTAAATGCAAAGAAGTCTACAAAGAAAAACAGGATTTTGGTGATGGTGGAAGTGGAGTAATAATGTACTTCCAAGTTCCTCTTCCTTAACCATTTCTTGTTTGTTTTGTTTCTTTGTTTGTTTGTTTTTGGCAGGATTGGGGTTTGAACTGAGGGCTTTGTACTTGTAAAGCAGGTGCTCTACTGGTTGAGACATACTTCCAGTTTATTTTGCTGTGGTTATTTTGGAGATGGGGGTTCTCTAGGACTATTTGCCTGGGCTGACCTTGAACCGAGGTCCTTCAGATCTCAGCCTCCTGAGTAGCTAGGAGTACAGATCATGAGCCACTATTAGATTTAAAAAGTTGAGATGTTGTATTTGCTCTCTGAATTTAGCTTTGGATCAAGTGTGTATGTGGTCTTTTTGTGTTTTGTGGGGTTGTTTGGAGGAGAAGACAATACAAACATTTGAACTTAGGGCGTTGTGCTTGCCGGGCATGTGCATTTTTTGGTACTGGGGCTTGAGTCACTCCACCAGCCCAGTTTTTTGTGATAGGGTTTTTCAAGATAGGCCCCTGAGAACCATTTGCCCAAGCTAGCTTCAAACTGTGATCTGCCTTATCTCTGCCCCCTGAGTAACTAGGATTATAGGTGTGAGCCATCGGCACCTGGCCCTATTTTTGGTTTTTTTGATACAAGTCTGCTCTCAGACTCAAGGTCCTTCTGCTTCATCTTCCCAAGTACTGGGATTACAGGCATATACCACTATTGCCAGCTATGTGTATATAATCTTTTAGTTTGCAAAATACTTTCATATTCATTCTAATTTATTACAAGAAGATCTTGTGAAGCATGTGGGGGGTGTTAGTGCTATTTTATACATGAGGAAACAGGCTTGCTTTGACTTTTTCATTTTATCTCCAACATATCTAATACAGAAAATTCTCTTTGTGGCCTTAGTCCTAGTTAGTAACATAATTGGTCATGTTTCAAAGTTGGCATTGAACTTTGATTGTAATTCAGCAGTCTTATAGAAAATAGGAAATAGGTTTTCTTTGGATAGGGGAGAACTGTCTTAAACATAGAAAAACATAAGCTGATATTATTTATCTTTATAGTGAGGGGTAGCTTTTTTTTCCTGTTCTTGGAGATAGTTTTCTTTGAGTTTAAAAGACTTTTTGAATAATTAACTTTCTTTGAATTTAAGACCAGTTTTTTTTTTTTTGGCAGTAGCTGGGTTTTTACACAGGGCTTCCCACTTACTAGGCAGGTACTCTACCACTTGACCCACGCCACCAGCCCTGTTTTTGTGTTAGGTATTTTCAATATAGGATCTCATGAACTATTTCCCTTGCTGACTTTGAACTGTGCTGATCTCTGCCTCCTGAGTAGCCTGGATTTACAAGCATGAGCCACTGATTCCTAGCAAGACCAATCTTTTTGAATAATTGTCTTCAAGTATGTATTCATTTTTTGGGACAGGGTTTTGCTGTCCATACTGGCTTAGGACTCAACCTCCTACTTTAGCTTCACAAGTATTGGATCTCAGGTGTATACCACCGTGTCTGAATTGAAATATCTCTTCAGAAAATTCCTGTAGTACAGATGTGTAGTTGGTAAACTCTTAGTTTTTGTTTATATGAAAATGTCTTTATTTCACCTTCCTTGTTATTACCACCATCACCACAGAGAGTCTCTGTGTGTGTCTTTCCCCTGCTTTTAGGTTAATAATTACTTTCTCTTGGCTTTCTTTTAGAAAATTCAGACAGTGTGGATCTCACTATGTAGACTAGTCTGGCTGAAATTTATCCTCCTGAGTGCTGGAATTACAAGTACACCACCACACCTGGCAAAACATTTTCCAATTTTCTAGTTTCCATTACTGCTCTGAAATGGTTTTCATTAGTTGCTTCTTTGTAGGTATTCTGTCTCCTGTGTGCTTTTCCCAAGAGGGTTAGAAGTACTATTACGAAAGGTTGCCCTCTGCTTATGGGCTCTCCTATACTGGGAGGTTGAGCTCTGCCAGAATAGTAGGTGTTGAAGACCTCTTATTAGAAACAGTAGGCAATTGGTTAGTTTCCTCATTTGTTTTCCTTTAACTACCTTGCTCAGAACCCAGATTATATGAGAGTCATTGGGGAATGCAAGTGATGGTGTGGATATAAGAAGCAGAGTTCAACCTGTTGCTGCCTCCAGACAAGTAACTTTTTCTAAATTGTTTATGGCATGTGGCAGCTTTTTTTATGTCAAACTGTCCTAAGAGGCTAAGATGAAAAGAAAGTGGTTGAATCACTGTAATTCCTTCTTGTTAATGCAAAGGAGGGAGGAGTATTACATAAGGATTTTTTTTTTTTTTCCCAGAATGCATCCTGTCTTGTTCTTGCTGCTCGGCATGCTAGTGCTTCTACGGTAAGATTTAGAAAAGAACAGAATTATTGGGGCAGTCTGACCCTCGAGAGAGGATTTGGCAACCACCTAGGCTCTTACCCTGAGTCTCTTGGAAGTAACCATTATTATTGTAACTACTATTACCACTTTTTTTTTTTTTTGAGACAGGATCTTGGTATATACCCCAGGTTATCCTCAAACTCCAACAGAACCTCCTGCCTCAGCCTGCCAAGTGATATGATTACAGGTGTACACCACCATGCCTGACTTCATTTTAACCTTTTTTTTTTTTGCTAGTACTGGGGTTTGAACAGGCACTCTACCACTTGAGCCACTCCACCAGCTTTTTTTTTTTTTTTTTTTTTTTTTTTTGGTGTGACTGAGTTAAACTCAGGGCTTCATGTTTGCCAGGCAGGTGCTTTACCACTTTAGCCACACATCCATCTTTTTTTTTTTTTTTTTTTTTGTCAGTTTGAACTCAGGGCCTCACACTTGCTAGGCAGGCGCTCTACCACTTAAGACACTCCACCAACCCCATTTTTAAGTGTATAGTTCAGTGTCTATAAGTATCTTTACATTGTGCAGCCATCACCACCATCCATATCCAGACTTTTTCATCATCTCCCCATACTGAAACTGCCCATTAAACAATAACCCTCTATTCCTTCCTCCCCTACCTAATTATTTTACCTTCATCTATACATAGTTGACCAGACTACCCCTGGCATATAGACATCTGTATATAGTTGACCAGACTTCATCTGGCCGATAGAGAAAGCCAAATGTTAAAAGGCAGTTTTCACATGCCTCCTTTTCAGGTGGAAGTCTCATAAATTTTTGACCATCACTTAGACCTTCTACTTCTCTTTCTAGAATTTGAAAGATGTACTGGCCAACCTGATACCTAAAGAGCAAGCCAGAATTAAGTCCTTCAGGCAGCAACATGGCAAGACGGTGGTGGGCCAAATTACTGTGGACATGGTAAGGGTTGTGGGGTCTTGGCTGGAAAAAGTAGTCCTGTAATGTGTTTTAACAAAAGTATCATTGTTTCCTAACTGTTCAGAAGCATTCTCTTACAAAGAAATGTTGAGGTTTATGTTTTTCATTAGTGGTTAGATTTGTTCTTTTATCCAGATTTAATATTTGTGCCTAATACTCACCTTTGGAAGAATGTAGTTTTTAGTCCTGTTCCCAAACCTTCATCCTTTGGAGCCACTATTGTTTGTCTTTTCAGTTGATGTTCTGTCAGACATATTGTTAAACCCATAGCCCTAGTAGGGCTTTAGGATGACTTCCCCAGCCTTAAGAGTTTGAGCAACTCAGTTAATAGTTTTTAGCCATTAATCTCTTTTCCCTTTTATAATAGATCTCATTTTGTTTGCTTTAGTTGGGAGTGGGGGAGAAGTTAAGAGTGGACAGGAGGGCTGGTGGAGTGACTTAAGTGGTAGAGCCCCTGCCTAGCAAGCGTGAGGCCCTGAATTCAAACCCCCAGTACCATCAAAAAAAAAAACCAAAAAAAAGAGTGGACAGGAAAAAAAAGTACAAATAAGAAAATGGAGCAGAGGCAAGCACATTAAAAGAACAATGGTAGTTTCTTAATTTAAAAATGTCATTTCTAGCATTAGCAGCCCTTGCTAATTTGCCAAGTTCAATTTTTTAGTAATTTAACTCAGAACTCTATTCTTGAGTGAACTTTTGCAAGTCAGAGAAAATAAGACTTCATCTCCCAGGTTCCATGAAGCTCTAACAAGCTATAATCTGAATCATTCTATTGGTCACATCCTTTTTTCTTCAGATGTATGGTGGCATGAGAGGCATGAAGGGACTGATATATGAAACATCAGTTCTTGATCCTGATGAGGTAAGACACCATTATGTCAATCACTAATAGTCGAGTTTATCCATTATTGAGATCAGTTCACAAACCAAACCATGGATCAGACCAGTGAGGTTAAAAGAATAGCACAAAGCACCTATTTTCATATTTTGGAAGGTAGAGAATATGTATGTATAGAATAACTGGAGAACAAGTTTACCTTTCTGATATATCAGTGCACAAAAGAAAGGTGCAAAAACAGAAATAAATATGTGAAGATGTAAACTTTGAAAGTTCTATTCTAACTTGTTAAAATGTCTGATATCTGATATGAGTAGGACCAGTCAGTTATGTGATTTATAGGCTAATCAATTTGAGTTGTAATTCTCACTGTTCTCCCTCAAGGGCATCCGTTTCCGAGGTCATAGTATCCCAGAATGCCAGAAACTGCTGCCCAAGGCAAAGGGTGGGGAAGAACCCCTGCCTGAAGGCTTATTTTGGCTGCTGGTAACTGGACAGATCCCAACAGAGCAACAGGTATAGCACAATGAATTAGTCTTTCCCATTCCCCTTCTTTGCTTTTCTCTAACCTTAGACACTTAATCTTGGTCTGGCTATGGGTAATAGTTTATAGAGATGTACAATGAGGGGAAGAAATCAGAATTTTGCTATAGAAGTGGATTGTGTTGTACACTCTTAGATGTTTTTTACTCGGACATCACTGTTCCTTTATTTTTTCTCCTTCCTTTTCCTTCCTAGTATCCTGAACAGTGTCTTCTTTTCCACAGGTATCTTGGCTCTCACAAGAATGGGCAAAGAGGGCTGCTCTGCCTTCTCATGTGGTCACCATGCTGGACAACTTTCCTACCAATCTACATCCAATGTCTCAATTCAGTGCAGCCATTACAGCCCTCAACAGTGAAAGTAACTTTGCCCGGGCATATGCAGAGGGTATCAACCGAACCAAGTACTGGGAGGTATGAAATTTGGGTTGGGGGGTGATTTGTGATGGGGATTCACAGGACATGAGTATGAAGGGACAAAAGGGAATGTAGCTTTTTTTTTTTTTTTTTGCAATACTGTGGTTGGGTTTGAACTTAGGACTTTATGCTTGCTAGGCAGGTGTATTCTATCACTTGAGCCACTCCATCAGACTTTTTTGTGTGTGTTTGGTATTTTCAAGATAGGGGCTCACAGACTATTTGCCTGGACTGCTTCAAACTGTGATCCTCCTGATCTCTGCCTCCTGACTAGTTACGATTACAGGTGTGAGCCACCAGTGTCCAGATGAATGATGACTCTCTAGGAGGATTACTTCTGAATTATACCAGATACTAACATAACACATTTCTAGAAGCTAGGACTGTAGCTTAAAGGTAGAGCCATGTGCAAAGCCTGGGTTAAAACTCCCAACACCAAAAAAAAAAAAAATTCACTATAACACTTTTTGTCTGTAGTTGAGATTACAAAGATAAATAGAAAATGTTTTTTTTGTCAGAGTTATTGGTTTGGTTATGCCTGTAAAAAATAAACTATGATTACATAATCTTGTTGCAGTAGAAGTATGTACACAGGACTGTTAGAACATTGAAAAGGAGGATACTTAACTGAAGGATTCCTGAAAAAGATACCACAGAACGCACAGAACACTCTCACCCTCGCTACAGAGGGCCATTTCCTTACCCCCTTCTTCAAATAAGGAAACCTTTTTTTTTTTTTTTTTGTAGTATGGGAGGTAATGGAGTTTATTAAAAGTTATGGAAAAAGTTGTAAACAGCCATGATGGACCAGTTATGAAGCAGAAATAGAGAAAGAAATAAAATATTGAGAAATCTTACAAATTCGGTGTTTGACAGCTAAAGCAAGTATAAAGGAGAACCAATGCCACTCAGGTCTCATCTGTCTTTGGGCTAGAAAGGTGTTTAGTGTCCTGGGAATAGAATACCAAAACAATGAAATGTGACTGTAGTAGTTTGAACTCTGTGGTTAGGGTATGGGAAAGCTGTTGTGTTTTGTTCCCATGCATACTACCTTACATAAATAACTTCAGTCATCTTCCAGTTCCGTACATAGACACCCTGGGTAAAGCATAAATGTGGTGAAGTTTTTTGTTTTATTTAATTTTTTTTTTTAATTGTTGTACTGGGAGTATATTGTGACATTAATTTACAAAGGTTCTTATAATATATCATAGTTGAATTCACTCCCTCCATATCGTGAGTTTTATAGGAGGTCATACTATTTTTTTTAGTTTCTTACTTGGAGACAGGTGGTCTATGGACTGCAAGATTCCTTTTTTTTTTTAAATTTTTTTTGTCCACTGTGCAGCTCTCTTCAGTGTCAGCAGCCTACAGATAGAGGCCAGGCAATGGTTTGGAACTAGTTTGCTCTGGCATGGGACACTATTTTGCCCAGGGGGCAAAATAGCTCCCCTTCCCGCCCCTCCCACCCCCAGTACTGAGGCTTGAACTCAGGGCCTCACCTTGAGCCACTCCACTCCACCAGACCTATTTTTTGTGTGTGTGTGAAGGGTTTTTTGAAATAGGGTCTCAAGAACTATTTGCCTGGGCTGGCTTTGAAGCATGATCCTCCTGAGTAGCTAGGATTACAGGTGTGAGCCACCAACACCCAGCCAAAATTGCTTTTGTAAAAAACAAACTTTTTACATTTTTATTAGCATTTATTAGTTGTACAAAGGGGTTTTATTATGATAATTCCATATGTGCCTACAGTGTACTTTTATTAAATTCACTCCTTCTATTCCTCTTTCTCATCCCTTCTCCCCTACCAAAATTCTTTATTTTTCTGGCAGTACAGGGCCTCATACTTACTAGGCAGGCACTCTACCACTTGAGCTACTCCAACAGCCATTTTTTGTGTTGGACAGACTATTTGTCTGGGCTGGCTTCTAAATGTGATCCTTCTGATCTCTGCCTCCTGAGTAACTAGAATCACAGGTGTGAGCCACTGGTGCCCAGCTGTAAAATTCCTTTTTACAAAGTAGGTATACTAAGTGATTTTTGAGACAGGGTTTCACTATGTAATCCAGGCTGTCCTTGAGATCAATCCTTCTGTCTCAGACTTCCAAATGCTGGGATTATTGGCATGGACCACCACATCCAGCTTCCAGCTATTACCAACTCTGAGAGTTTTGTTTAGCTTGGTAGTACATGCCTTTAGTCCCACTTATTTGGGAAGCTGAGGCAGGAAGATCTCTTGTGCCCATGAGTTTGAAACTAGCCTGGGTAACATACCAAGAACCTGTCTCAAAAAATTTTTTTGTTGTTTTGTGTGCTGTTGGGAAAGAGGGATGGTTTGAAATTGAAATTGATAGGGCTGGTAGAATGGGTCAAGAAGTAGAGCACTTGCATAGCAAGCATGAAGCCCTGAGTATTCAAGCCCCAGTACTGACAAAAAAAAAAAAAAAAAAAAGTTTAGCCCTCTTCTTTTTTTTTTTTTAAACAGTACTGGGACTTGAACTCAGAGCCTAAACCTTGAGCCACTCCACCAGCCCTTTTTTGGGGTAGGTTTTCTTGAGATAGGGTCTTGCAAACTGTTTGTGTGGGCTGACTTCAAACTGTGATTCTTCTGATCTCTCCCTTCTCTGCCTTCTGAGTAGCTAGGATTACAGGTGTGAGCCACTCACACCCAGCTCTTCTCTCTCTTCCACCAAATGAAAACTGCCCTTTTGGGCTGGCAGAGTAGCTCAAGTGGTAGAGCACCTGCCTAGCAAGTATGAGGCCCTGAATTCAAACCCAGTACTGAAAAAAGAAAGATAAAAGAAAAAAACGGTTAAGGGACTGGAGAAGTAGCTCAAGCAGTTGAGTGCCTGCTTTGAAAGCAGAATGTCCTGAGTTCAAACCCCAGTTCCACTTTAAACAAAAAAAAAATAGAAAAGAAGAAATCAATATTTGGTTGACATTAAGGAGGTTGCTATAGGAATGATGAAAAATATAAACTTTCACAATCACTTAAAGCATTTATAAAGTCACACATGAGCAAATACAGTAGGTCTAATATTAATCTTTTAGAAGTTGACCACTCAGAAGTACCTGTTACTACCCACAGTGATACTTGACTTGACTGCCATAAAGGAGGGAAAAACAGCTTCTTTAGCTCGGGCACCAGTGGCTCATGCCTGTAATCCTAGCTACTTAGGAGGTTGATATGAGAAGAATCATGATTCCAGGCATTCTGGGTAAATAGTTCCTGAGACCCAGCTCCAAAATAACTAGAGCAAAAATGGACTAGGAGTGTGTAGCTCAAGCAGTAGAGTACCTACTTTGTAAGCACAAAGCCCTTCAGTGTCCCCTTCCACCCCCCAAACTCTCTCCAAAAAAAAAATCAGCTTCTTCACACTTTGTAATAGATGCCTATAATATATTTCTGAGGCATTCAAACATGCTGCATGTTTAACACAGTGCTTACTGTATCATTGCAATGAATCATGTACTCTCTCTGCTTGCTGTTGCCTCCACTTCAGTGTATAGCCATTGCTTGACTTCTGCTATCATCTCTTTGTGAATGTCTTGAGATAAATACATATTTCAGAAATTTTCTAGTCTTTTGGAAAGTGTTTGTGAGCAATGCTTATGTATTTTGTCCACTTTAGGATATGTGTCTAGTAAATTCACTACACAAAAATTAGTACCAGTGACAGTTTTAATTTAGTAATTCTTTTTTTTTCTTTTGCTGTACTGGTGTTTGAACTCAGTGCCTCACGCTTGCTAGGCAGGCACTCTACCACTTGAGCCACTTCACCAGCCCTTTTTTGTATTGGGTATTTTTAAGATAGGGTCTCACAAACTATTTGCCCAGGCTGGCTTCAAACCTCAATCCTGATCTCTGCCTCCTGAGTATCTAGAATTACAGGCATGACCCACTAGTGCCCAGCTGAGACTGGGGTTTGAACTCAGGGCTTTGGACTTGCAAAGCAGTTGCTGTACTATTGAGCCACATCTCCAGTCCATTTTTCTCTGGTTATTTTGGAGATTCAGTCTCACATACTATTTGCCCAGGCTGGCCTGTAACCTCGATCCTCCCGATCTCAGTCTCCCAAGTAGCTAGGATTACAGGCATGAGCCACCATTGCCAACTCCTAACAGCTATTGAAAAGATAAATATAAATGGTTTGTGTTCATTATGTGATTTAATCCTTAGAATAATTCTGAGGTGTTATTTATTCCCATTATTTTATGGAACAGGAAAACTAAAGAATAGAGAAGTTAAGTAGTCTGCCCAAGGTCATGCAGCTAGTAAGTGGTAGAGACCAAATACAAACTTGAATTTGCTCAATTCTAGGTTCTCTTCACCATTGATTCTGGCTCTCTTCTTCTGATGAATGATAGCTAAGTGGAAGAATCTTGGCCAGAACTTTACTAGCTATAGACATAATGGCTCATGATTATGGTCTGTTTTGTTACCTTATTCAATATAGTTATAGTGGTAGCATATTTTAATGTCTTTTTTTCAGGGTTTATAAATGAAGAATGAGTTAGTGGGCTGAAAATTTAGCTTAATGGAAGAGCACTTGCATAGCATGCTCAAGGCTCTGGGTTTGATACCTAGCACCACAAGCAACAAAACAAAAAAGAATGAGTTAGTACAAGTACCTAAGTCTTAGCTTCTTAAAGAAATAAGGAGGCGTTCTATGTCTAATTTGGTTTTTTGTTTGTTTTGCAGTACTGGGGTTTGAACTTGGGCCCTTCTTAAGCCACTTCACCAGCTCTATTTTTGTGAAGTTTTTCGAGACAGGGTCTTGAGAACCATTTGCTTGGGCTGGCTTTGAACTGCAATTCTCCTGATCTCTGCCTCCTGAGTAGCTAGGATTACAGGCGTGAGCCACCGGCACCCAGCTTGTTTTGTTTAAAAACTCTTCTAGAGCCAGGGATGTAGCTCAGTAGTAGAGCACTTGCCAAGCATGCTCAAAATTCCTGATTCAGTCCTCAGCACCAAAAAAGAAACTGCTCTTTCTCTAAAGGGATTTAAAATTCCTTTGAGAGAATAAAATTGAGACACAAAAACTGAAACAAACTGTTAATATCACAAAAAGAGAGGCAACCCAATATTGCCTCTCTAATTATGTCTCCTAATAAATGACCACAACACTATTTGTGAAATAGTCTTGTTTAAAAATTGTACTTTAGGGGGCAGAAATGACCTAACAATGTACGCACATATGAATATATGAATAAAGAAAATATAAAAATTGTACTTGATGAGCTAAGGGTGTACCTTTATGGTAGAATGGTTGACTAGCATGCGTGAGGTCCTGAGTTCATCTCCAGCACTAGGAAAAAAAAAATTGTATGTGAATCTGCTCAGCCTTTCATATATAACTGAATTTATAGGAAATACAGTGTTCAGAGGAACATGTTAAATGACATCACAGGTATATCTAACCAGCAATATCTAAACCATGGCAAAGCCTACAGAACAAATGATCCAGTTTTCCACAAATAAATTACAAAGTAAAGGCCAGGCTCATGCATATAATCCTAACTACTCAGAAGGCAGAGATCAGGAGGATTGAGGTTAGAAGCCTACCTGGGCATGTAGTTTTCATAGATTCTTTCTCAAAAATACCCAATATAAAACAGGGCTGGCAGAGTGGCTCAAGTGATAGAGTACCTTCCTAGCCCCAGTGCTGCCAAAAAATAAGTAAATAATAAATAAATTACAAAAAAAAGAAAAGGGGAGCAAGAAGAGGGGTCTAAAAATAAGATGTATTGGACAGTTGCAGTGTATGGACTGTTTCAGTCCTGGTTCCAAAAATATGTGAATTGGGGGAGCTTTATAATCAGGGAAATTTGAATGTTGACAAGATTCTTCATGGCATTGAAGATTTGTTAAAAGAATTTTTTTTTTCCTATGGGATGATAGTTTTCTGATTTTGATTATGAAAAAGTTAATCCTTTAGAGATACATGCTTAAATATTAACATGTTGCAATATGTGATACCTGAGGTTTTCTCAAAATAATTTAGGCAGTGAGACAGGTGAAGTGTGTACATCTATAATTTAGCTATTTGAGAGAAAAGATTTCAAAAACTTCTAAGAAGGTAGCTGGGGAAGTAGCTCAATAGTAGAGCACTTGCCTAGCACGTACAAGGAAGGCCCTAGGTTTAATTTCTACCACCCCTGCCCCCCCAAAAAGAATGCTATATAAGACAACAGATATATTTCTGAGCTTTATTTAGTCATTCCATAATATTTATGTATGTATATATATAATCAAAAAGTCTAAAACAGTACCTGTTACATAGTAAGTGCTTAAAAAGTAGAAGCTTCTGTTATTAAGTAACAATGGAATAACAGTTTAACTACCCTTGGGGTAGGTAGGTTTTTTTCTTTAGAAGAAGAAAATAAAATTTTTAGCCAGGCACCAGGGGCTCCCTAGCTACTTGGGAGGCTTAGAAGGGGAGAATCAAGGTTCCAGGCAAAGTGCCTGCTTTGTAAGCACAAAGCCCTGAGTTCAAACCTCAGTCCCACAAAACAACAACAACAAAAAACCAACAAGATTAAAACCTAGTATCTTAGCAATTTATTGCAAAGTCATCGTATAAGTGAAAGAACATGTCAGGGTTCAAACCTGAGTTGGACATTTAAATGAATATGAATACTGTTCCCTCATCCCTTAGTAGAATGGCAAGAATTTTTTAGTGTACATGAGGTATTATAAATCAATTAGTGTAGTGCGTATATCATGATAGTTTATTCAGTAGATGTTACTGTTAATTCCATTCTTTGAAACATACTCAACCTATAACCACCAGCATATAAACATGAATCCAAATAGCCCAATCTTTGGAAGACAAACAATATCCCTGCCTAATTCTTCTTTGCTGGTAATTCCCATATTTCCCCATCTTCCTTTTCTCTTATCAGTTGATTTATGAAGACTGTATGGATCTGATTGCAAAGCTACCCTGTATTGCAGCAAAGATCTACCGGAATCTTTACCGAGAGGGCGGCAGTATTGGGGCCATTGATTCTAAGCTGGACTGGTCCCACAATTTCACCAACATGTTAGGCTATACTGATGCCCAGTTCACTGAGCTCATGCGTTTGTACCTCACCATCCACAGGTGAGCTAGATCCAGCAACCATGGCCACCAAGTGTCTGGATTGGTGGGAAATTTTTCAAGTATTATCATCATCTGGGAAGAGATGATCTACAACAAGGAGATAGAAAAATGTCATAAGGGATGATTCAAGGCAAGAAGTGTGCCTAGTAAGGAAGAAGGTCAGGAGTCCTAATGAATTTACTATAACCATGCTAAGAGTTGAATGATGCCATAGCTGAGAAAAGGAACTATTTGCTCATGTGTCCAGGAGCTCCCTCTTCTGGCATTGTTATTAAAGCTGAACAGTTGGCTGGGGGTATAGCTCAGTGTTAAGAGTATTTGCTTAGCATGTGCAAGGCCCTGGGTCTAATCCCCAAAACTAGAAGAAAAATTACCTGGGTGGTGGGGAGGGGAGCTGAGAATGGGAGTCAGGAAGCTGGGAACACAGGCGTCATCAACCAGTAACTTCTTCAGCTCTGTGGATTAATGAGATTAGGATGTCTTTTTACTGCTTAGGCATCAAGCTGACTGGCTATAGGCTAGTGTGACCCCTTAAATAGGCTAGGATATGACAAATAAAAGCAAGGTCTGCTGTGTTTCTATAATCTGCCTTTTCTCCCTGTCTTTCCTTTCTTCCCCACAGCGACCATGAGGGTGGCAATGTAAGTGCCCATACTAGCCACTTGGTGGGCAGTGCCCTTTCAGACCCTTATCTGTCCTTTGCAGCAGCAATGAATGGGCTGGCAGGGCCTCTACATGGATTGGCAAATCAGGTAAAACTATTCTTTTCCTGCTCCATGTTTTTCTTACCCAGATGCTTTGTTCCTGGTCTTAGCATTCTCTTCCTGGCATATGTATTGACATCCCTTTTTATCCCAAACCTTATCATAGGAGGTGCTTGTCTGGCTAACACAACTACAGAAGGAAGTTGGCAAAGATGTGTCAGATGAGAAGTTACGAGACTACATCTGGAACACACTTAACTCAGGACGGGTAAGCAGAGATGCTTAGCAAGTTGGAAAGAAGCCAAGGTCCAAATCCTGCAGTTTGAAAGAATTAAGGAGAAAAAAAAACATGAGCTGGTGCCAGTGGCTACACCTGTAATCCTAGCTACTCAGAGGCAGAGATCAGGAGGATCATGGTTAGAAATTGTTAGCCCAGGCAAACAGTTTGCAGGACCTTATCTTGAAAAACCCATCACAAAAAAGGGCTGGTGGAGTGGCTCAAAGTATAGACCCTGAGTTCAAACCCCAGTACCAATAAATAAATAAGTAAATAAAATGAGTCAGGCATGGTGGCCCAGCCTAAAGTACTGTCATTCAGGAGGCTATGGCAGGAAGATTACAAATCCTTGGCTAGCTTGGGCTATTAGCAGGTTCCAAGCCAGCCTGGGCTACACAGTAGCAAGATGCTGTCTCAAAAAAAGATAGTGTTTCTTAATTTAGACATGGAGATTTCTTTTCCATTTTTTTCCCCCCATTTGTCTACCCTTAGAATTTAGGGGAAAAAAATTCTTCCTGAAGAGTACCAGCTATCTTCTTTTCCTTATCCTTTATAGGTCGTTCCAGGTTATGGTCATGCAGTTCTAAGGAAGACTGATCCACGATATTCCTGTCAACAAGAGTTTGCTCTGAAACACCTGCCTAATGACCCCATGTTTAAGCTGGTTGCTCAACTGTACAAGATCGTGCCCAATATCCTCTTGGAGCAGGGCAAGGCCAAGAATCCTTGGCCCAATGTAGATGCTCACAGTGGCGTGCTGCTCCAGGTGAGTCCTCCCTTCCTTTGTTTCCCTCTTAATTTGTACCACATCCTACTTTTCTCTGCCATGCACAAAACCAACTCCCTAGTCAGAGAAAGGATGCTTAGACCTCCCTCACTGAGACCTTTGAAAAGTTGCCTATGGGAGAGGCGAGGGTTGGGGCTGCTTTCTTTTTGGAATCCCAGTTACTCTTTTTTTTTTCCTGATGTCATTTCTATTCAAGGCTGACTGGGCTAAGTCCCTAGAGAAAAAAAGGGAAAATGGAGCCTCTAAAGTTCCCCTCACACTAAACTTGTATATGGCAGTGCATCTGGGTTTTTACTTTTTTTGGCAGTACTCTAGGGATTGAACCTAGGGCTTTATGCATGGTAACCAGTCACTCTACCACTGAGCTATATCCCCAGCTCTGCCTCTGGGCCTTTAACAAAGCCTTTTTCTCTTCTATTTTACAGTACTATGGCATGACAGAGATGAATTACTACACAGTCCTGTTTGGGGTGTCACGGGCACTGGGTGTGCTGGCCCAGCTCATCTGGAGCCGAGCTCTAGGCTTCCCTCTAGAAAGGCCCAAGTCCATGAGCACGGATGGTCTGATGAAGTTTGTGGACTCTAAGTCAGGGTAAAAGTGGAGGTTGGGGGAAAACTACAAGAAAATGAGGAAGCTTAAAAATAAAGTACACTTTTGCTTCAGGGGGCCTAAGACTTGAAGATTAAATTGTATCTGAGGCACTGAAAATGTTTGAAGTTAAAATATTAAAGATGAAAGTGACCCCTTCGTCCCTAACCAGTTCCCTTCCCTGCCTGGTGTGAGTTTCCCATGCAGCTGTAGGATGACCAAGACTAATGCATGTGGTATGGGTTAGATTTGGCCACTTACCATCTCTAGAGTGAAAATCTGGCTCTTCTTTCCTTAGGTCAAAGTAAGTTACAGAGAAGCTGCAGTCTCTCTGGGGCTTTTGCTCCTTCTCTGCCCAGCCCTCTAGGCAAAGAAGCCAGAACTCTGCCCCTTCCCTTTTCATAGGACATGTTGGGTTGTCAGCTGTGTCAAGCCCCAAGGCCCTCTCCTGTGCACACAAACACTTTCCAGGAAGACTGGATATGCTTTGATGCTTTGGCAATTTTTTTTTTTTTTTTAATGCTACCAGGTGACCATAAAAGCATGGCATTTGTCGTGACTGGTACCCAGTGTTTGATTTCTTTTTAAAATTCTCATTAAAATGAAGGTCTGGGAGTGTTCTGTCTCCCGCTACTTTAATACCTCCTTCCAGACTTTCTGTAAATGCTGTTCCTTAAGCTGAAAATGCTCTGGGTCTTCTCTTGGTTCCTACTAGAGACCTCTTTCAGCAGGTCTGTCTGATCTGTGGTTTTCCCCATTATTAAGCTTCATCAGTGCTTAATGTGAACTAAGCATTTTACTTCCACAGAATATAAGCCACTACCCTCTATCTTTTTTCTTCTCTGTTAATACATGGTGGCACATAGAACAGGGGCTCAGGAATGACCAAACCATTGTCTGGTGCAGAGGTTCTAGCATTTCTTTTTGAATAGAGAAATGATTCAAAATTGAAAGTATCAGGTCCTAGGGCTGAGGACTTTCAAAATAGCTTCTCCTCATTCCCTGCCATAAGAAAATGTTCCCTTATTTATCATAGTGTTTCTCTGCCCTCTCCTCAAGAGCTCATAAAAAGTGTTCTTTTTAGCAGCCCCATTTGCACAGGTTTTCAGTGACTCAGAATGTTCTGCTTTTTCTTTGAGAAAGGATTGAGATACACTCCTGCTGGGCCCTCTTCTTCCAAAACTCCTGCCTGTGTTTGTGTGGAACCCAAACCCCAGAACCACACTGTTGAGGTGGGCACACTGTAAATCCCTGGGTTACTGTTAAGTCATGATGCAGACTTCAGGTTGTTCTGTATAAAATAAAAAATAAATGTTTTTATTAACAATGTTTGAGCCTGCTGTATTAAATTAGGCATAGAAGAATCTTTATTATGAGGTAAAGAATCTGGTTAGCAAGGAACTGAACTTGGTGGGTTATAAGTTAGTCTATGCATTTCTTTATCTTAGGTTTGGCATTCAGAGGAAAGGCTTCCTATGAGGTTTGAAAAGAGACTTCTGTCTTTCCTCCAAGTTAGAAGTTACCTTTAGTCCCCATCCTTCCTAATTTTGTTACAGTGTAGAACACTCAAAAACTATAGCTGAGACATCACAACTGCTTATGTGACTAATCCAACTGGTCTAGCCCACTGGGTGAAAGGAACAAACCTGCCAAGGGCAATTTACTAGGACTGCTAGCTCAGGACCTGAACACTAGAGGGCTCTAGTTTGTCATGAAGTACCTAATCCTCTTTGCAGCTTTCCTTAAGAAGGCCCCCAAAATAACAAGGGGTGGTCCTGGGGGCATCAGATTTGTGGGAGGGTTGAGACCAGATGATTGTCCTGAGACTCTTGCTTGCAACTGAGCTTGTGAAAAAGTTTATGAATAGGCAAGAGGGGAGTATTAGGTCCTGGTGTGTATATGTGCTACCATAGTTAGCAGGGACACTACATCCAACAGGCCTTCTTACATATTTATATATTGCTCCCACAAAATAAAAAAAATACAAAAAAGGCAAATTCACACTGTCACAGTTTATTGACATCTTATAAAAACTCAGGCCACATGGAAGAATACAGTACGACCCAAAAGTACAAAGGCAACTCTGTTCAGTGCTTTTTATTTCCTCCATCTTGTGGCACTGATGGTGCACCATCCTCACTCTACTTGCCAGACTGCATGGAAATACTCAAACTGAGGAACCTCAGGTAGGGTGAAAGTTACTTACTACTCAGTACCTCTGTGCCAGAGGAAAAGCTCTATTTATTCAAACCTTGGAAAAGTCTTCTGGTCAGATATTAAGTTGTCCCGACAGGGCCCAGAGACAACCACAGTCCTGGTTCCAATTCAGTGTGAAAAGGCTTAGCGGATATGGAGGTTTTCAGGATAAGCCTGACCCTAGCCATGTCTCATTTCCATACCCCTTGCCTTTTCCCCCAACATTCCCAGCCAATTTTTAGGGAATTAAGAGGAAGAACAGTATTATGAACATTGACTCCTCTCACATTTGATCAGGAGCCAAACTAAATAAATAAGAATTTAGTGGGAAGAGGGAGTACAGAAGAGGCTAGGGGAGCAATCCTTTGCCTCAAGTCTGGTGCACCTCATGGAACATCAGTTCACGGGGGATGGCTGTTTCTGGACCAAACTTGGTGGCTGCCCGGCGCTCAAAGGCAGCAACATTCTGTTTGACAACCTCATCAAAGAACATGGTGGCCAGCTGGGAGTGCAGCAGAGATCGAAATTCAAAGGAAATCTGGGAATGTGGAAGAGAACAATTAAAACCACTTCAAGACCATGTTGGATAATCCCTGGCCAATTGCAAGGACACTGATTCACAGTGCCTTTTCTTCCTGTCCCCCTCCAGTTTTTAGATCCATTCAATATCCTTAACTTAGGACTGGGGAGACTACAAGTTCAACACAAACCCAGACCTATAGAAATTTGATGACTTGAAAAATTTCACAGCCCTACGCCTGTGTACAAAGCCTCCAGACTCACCGAAAAGTCCACAGTGCAAGTTCGGGGATAGGCAGGAATACCAGGGCTGAATCGCCAAATAGTCTCTAAGTGGTTGAAGAGCTTTCCATCTGTACAAATAGCCTAGAATAGGACAATCTGCTAGTTAAATGATATAACTAAGTATAGGAGGGAAAAGGAGGAGTTTGGAGCTGTGAGGTCTTAAAAGTAACTACTTAACGTGGAAATAAAGTCACCACAACGAAGGCCAAAGTAGTCCTTAAATGTGAAAATACTAAAGACAAAAAACTTCCTGGTCAATCCCTCCCAGACAGGCCTCACCTTGACCATGTGAGGTTTGACCATGGAAACTGCAGAGGTATAACGTTCCAGGACAGGTGGAAAGCCAACCTCCAACTGGGCCTTCAGGTGACCCTTACGGCTGGATACCACCAGAGACTTCTTACACCAGGGCACAAACTCCCGATACTCCTGGACGTTGGACACCACCTCATACATCTCCTGCATTGAGTACCTAGGGAAAGAGGAATCAAAGGCCAAGGAGCTGCCAGCTAACTTAGGTTCCTTCTTGCCATGGGCCCTCAACTTACACCTTTGCTGGCTAACAGTACATCTTCAGGAACTAGAGATCCTGAGTAAACCTGGATGGATGACATGTCAAAAGCGAACACATGCAAGTTCCCATGGTGTTAATGTTACTTCATTCTGCAGTTTGCAGATTTTTGTTTTGTTTTTGGTGAGTTTAATCTCAGGGCTTCAAAGCAGCGTGTACCATGTGAGCCACAACTCCAATCCATTTTGCTCTGGTTAGTTTGAAGATGGGGTAGTGTCTTGAATCATTTGCCCAGGCTGACTTAGAACTTCAATCTTCCTGATTTCAGCCTCACAAGTAGCTAGAATTATAGGCATGAGCCACCAGTGCCTGACTTGGTTTTGAATTATTTTGATTCCAAGAGAGACTAGAGATGAGAAGTCAGTTTTACTGGTAATCACTGTAATCTGATCAGACCCCATCTGTGTAACTTTCTAGTAGTGTAGACCTAGGTAATTTACCTGTGCCTCCATTAATAATAGTACTTGATTCATAGGTTTATTGAAAGGAGTAAATGAGGAAGATATATGTAAAATAACCTAAGCAGCCTAGCTGTAGGACATAGCAAGTACTCACAATCCATTTTTTTAAAAGGTCATTAGAGAAATAATACCCTGGGGCTTTTTTGTTTTGTTTTTTTTCTCTTCTTTCTCTTTTCAGACAGAGTCTTGCTATGTAGCCCAGGCTGGCCTCAAACTGACAATCCTGTCTCCACCTCCCGACAGCTGGGTATTAAGAGTGGTGACACACCACACTCAGCTACCCTATTGTCTTTGACATGTCTATAGTTATAGTTCAACCCTGGGTTCATTTCACTTAAGGTACATGCAACAAAAAAGAAAAGGAAGTCAGTTTGGAAGGATGGCAGAAGATTAAAAAAAGGGTCAGTAATATGGCCTGGGATGAATCTGCCCACTGTTGGTACTCTTACAATATAGCCTGATTATGGTTATTTGGCGGGGAAGAGGAACCGAAGGTATACAGGGCAGAGGACGATGCTCACCCCATAATCCTACGCTCCGAGTAAGCCTTTCGTTTGTTGGTGAAAGGGGCAGCAAAACCCATGAAGGAACGACTGAGAGGCAGGCCAGCTTCAGCCGCCAAGACTTGGGCAGCCCGGGGCAGGAGGAGGCTGCAGGAAATCAGAAACCTAAGACCAAAAGGAAAGGCGAGAGGCAGCGTCACGATTCTTTTTTTGTATTCAACCATTTCCAGGTGAAGGGGAAGAAGGGGGCATCCTGGAGGAAGGTCGTCCAGAGAAGCTTTTCCCCCTCAGCGCCTGCTGCAGCTAGCCAAGCTCCAAAGCCAGGCAGTCACGAGTGTGAAAGGTCGAGGGCAGCTAAGGACAGGGTCAGGAGTGGGGATGGGAAAAAAGAGGTGAGCGTGCGGAATGCCAGTTGCCTATGGGGCTACGCTACTTTTGAAAGCCAAAGCTCTCGGGCAGCATCACTGCCCCCGGGCAAGAGTTCCCGCGAGGGTCAAGAAGTGGTTGGCACCTACCCCGAGGGCATAACTTGTACAAGCATTCTCTACAGCTCTATGTTAGCTCCCAGGGCATCGCCGCAGCCAGCCCCTGCCGCGCCGGCAACCCAGGGCTGCCACCCTCCACCGCCCAACCTTCGGGTGCCGGGCGACCCCTTCCCTCCCGGGCGGATGCCCGCGCTTCACTCTCACCTCGTTGGTCGCGGAGGTAGCGGAGGGCCGGGGGGCGGGGCCGGGAGCGCGCCCGGGCGGGGCGAGAGGCCGCAGCAGCGTTGGGCCGCCGCGCGCGTCCCGGCTGGGAACCGCCGCGCGCCCGCAGAGGCCATGCGCGCGACCCTCTCTGGCCTTGTGGGCTCTGTGGTTGGCTGCGCCCCCTTCTCTCGGAAGGAGGGGTCGCTGGAAGAGCCGCCCGGCGGGCTCGTGCTCGGCGCCACGGGGCGCCGGGGCGGCGTGGGGCGGCGTGGGGCTGCGGCTGCTCTCTCCCTGCTCGCGCCCGGGCGGCCGGGTAGTCTAGAACTGAAGCCGTGACCGCAGCTCCCGGTACCCTCACGTCACGCTGTTGCCAGGGATCGGGCCAGGGCCAGGAGGAAGGAAGGAACAAGGCTGCCTGTCGGGAGATGTAGTTTCGGCCACACCCTTGGCGAGAAAGGCCTTCGTGTGCGTTTGAGAAGCTACAGAAATGGCTCAGAGGAGTAGGAGACTACTTGGCAAGTCTGTGGTCACAGGACGTGATACCTAGGCACAGAGGCGACTTCTGAACGTGCCAAAACCAGATGTCTGTGGATCCTTGGAAGGCCTCTCTTAGAGCCCTCCATGTACCTTTATAATTAGAAGCTTTGATCGTCTCAGTGCATGGGATTGCGCTTTTCAAAATCTTTGGAAATGGAGTAATGTTCCAAACTCAGGGCTCAGATATGCACTGTACCGTTTGTGTCTCTCGGTTTTGTGGGTTTTTTGGTTTTTTTTTTTTGCAGGGGGGGGTGCCCGAAGTGGGCGATGGTTTGAGACAGGATCTCCACATGTAGCCCAGGCTGGCCTCCAACCCTCTCCATCCTCCTAAATTCTGGAATTACAGGCTGGAATTAATAGGTACGCACTCGGGACCAGCTTCTTTGCTTTCTTTATAAATTTCTGGTCAAGCATGAGTGCAGTGACTCATGCTTGTACTCTTAGCAACTTGGGTGGCATAGATAAGGAGGATTGCAGTTAAAAGCGAACTTTAGGCAAATACTTGTTATAGACCCTACCTCAAAAAATACCCAACACACACATAAAAAAGAGCTGGCAGCTGGGTGCAGGTGGCTCATGCCTGTAATCCTAGCTACTCAGGAGGCAGAGATCAGGAGAATTTCAGTTCGAAGCCAGCCCCAGCAAATAGTTCGCCAGACCCTATCTTGAAAAAACCCTGAGTTAAAACCCAGTACCGCAAAAAAAAAAAAAAAAGTAAAATCTACAAATTTCAGTCTCCACATTCTAGAGAGCTTTACCTGAGAAGTGTTATGTGTGGCAGTGTTGCCCAGAAATGGGGAGAGGGCAGATGTAAATCCTCTAACTTCCCCTGCCTCTTGAGATTGGCATTAATATTGAGACTTCCAGTAGATACGGATTGATTTAAAGTTTTAGCCCATCTTATCTGGATTTCAATTTAGCAGAAACTATCTCATGAACTATCTGGCTTACATTTAACATTTTGTTAGGAATGTACTTTTAACCTTACCTATGCAGAAACTTCACAGTTAACTCATAAGGAGGGGATCACTCCGGGCACCAGGATCATGGTTCAAAGCCAGCCCTGGCAAATAGTTGGCGAGACCCTATCTTGAAGAACTCATCCAAAAAAAAAGACTGGCAGAGTGGCTCAAGGTGTAGGCCCTGAGTAGTCCCTCCAAACCCATTTTAAAAAACTATCCCCCAGTCAGGTGCTGGTGGTTCACGCCTCTAATCCTAACTACTTGGGAGGCTGAGATCAGGAGGATCGCAGTTCAAGGCCAGCTCAGGCAAATAATTCTCCAGATACCATCTCCAAAATAACCAGAGAAAGTAGGGGGTGTGGCTCAAGAGGTAGAGCACCAGCTTTGCAAGCACAAAGCCATGAGTTCAAACCACAGTCCCACCAAAAACAAAGGCTTTTCCTCCATAGCACTTAGTTCAAAAATTTTTGGGCTGGGGATATAACTTAGTGGTTCAGTGCCTGCTTAGTATGCATGAGGCTCTGGGTTCAACCCTCAGTTCTAAAAAGCAAAAACAAACCCATATTCATTAGGGCTTTGGGGGAGTTTTATTTTTGGTGAGACTGGGGTTCAATCTCAGGACTTCATGCTTGCATAGCAGGTGCTCTATTGCTTGAGCCATACCTCCAGTCCATTTTTCTCTGGTTATCCTGGAGGTGGGGTCTCTTTGAACTGCTTGTTTGCCTGGGCTGGCCTTGATCCTCGATCCTCTCTATCTCAGCCTCCCCAGTAGCTAGAATTACAGGCATGAGCCACCAGCACTTGGTACTAATGAATATGTTTTGTCAACTTTCATCCCCTTTCTTCCATCTACCTGAGGAGCATGAGACCCCCAAGTTAGAGAATCATCGGTTTCTTTTTCTCTCCTAACATCTTTTCCCTCAGCACTCCAGAGAGGGTCTGTGATGTCATTTCCTACCGCCCCTCTCACTACCATGGTACAGAATAGTCTTCCAGTTCAGAAGTGGGAATCTGGAGCCACTCTCAGAGGAGCATTTGACCTTGAAGGACAGTTTACTCCTTCCAGCCTCATTCTCTTATCTGCCTCCCTTCCTCTAAGGACTTACACATGTGAGACAGCTGCTTAGAGTGAGGAGTAAAGATCTGGTTGGGTAGAATACAGAAATGAACTGGGATACATGACTGAACTGTGACCCATTAACACTCTGCTTTAACTGAGTTAACTGCTGCAGAATCCCCAAGGTCCAATAGGCCTGCCAAATAAATTTGCTTGCTGTCGCCCCACCCCCACTAATTAGTAAGCTAATTACTGCCATCTAAACCTTTCCTAGCTCATTCCTTATACTTGAAACAACTAATTTCCTGCCATGTCCCTGCCACTCTGCATCAATGATTTCTTTCCAGTACTGACTCAAAATACACTTCTTCCAGGAAGACCCTCTTGACTAAACCATCCTTCAACATTACTCCGAGTGCATAATTTCATATAAACAAGCACACATCCTAGATTCTCTAATTGTCTTATGTGTATATGAGTGTCCTTCTACTAAAATATAAACTCCTCAAAAAGAAACACCAGTTTCACCTTTCCAACCAGTTAGTGTAAGCACTATGCACATGTGTCTTCACATTTGTTAGAAGAATGAAAACCAAAGTTTAAAGAAAGGCAGGCATCCTTCTAAAGTTACCCAAATAGTAATTCAGTAGTTGAATTCAGGACTATTGGCATAAATGAGCTTTTGTCACCAGTTTCATCTTCTTCCTCTCACCTTGTGTGTCACCCTGAGCTCTGGAAGTATCGGTATTACCCACATCATATCCCTTTTTTCTTTATTGGGGAATCCTCTTTCTCGTCTGAATAATATTTAAAATAATTCTTCTAGTCCTTCTTCCTCCTTCCAGCTGCCCAGAAAATTAGGTTGGCAGTCTCCGCTTCTTTACCTCCAACCCTGTGCCAGCCTCAGGCACGTGACCCCAGCTCAACCCCTAACTCCAATTCCTCAGGTTACCAGGAGCTATTTTGGGCAGTGCAGACCATGTATTCCCCTCCTCCCTTTCTCTGAGCCACATTCTAGCTTAGCCCTTCCTGGAAGGTCCATCATACCCAATAGCCAAGTGGACATGTCCTAACACCTCAGGTACCTTCAGTTTTTACTTCAGCCTTCTCCTCTTCCTTTTCCTTACCATCATCAACTATTAAGTGCCTCTTTCATGTGTTGATCTTCTAGAGCTAAAATAAAAAAATTAGGGGCTGGTGGAGTGGCTCAAGTGGTAAAGAACCTGCCTAGCAAGTATGAGGCCCTGAGTTCAAACCCCAGTGCCACCAAAAAAAACCAAGCTATAAACTTTGTACTTTAGTATATGTGCTGCAGCAGCACATATACTAAAATTGGAATGATACAGAGAAGATTAGCATGGCCCCTGAATGAGGATGACACACAAACTTGTGAAGCTTTCCATACTAAAAACAAAAACAAAAACAAAACACTGTAATTCTAATTACTCAGGAGGCAGAGATCAGGAGAGCCGAGGTTCAAAGCCAGCCCTGCAAATCATTTGCGAGGCCCTATCTTGAAAAAACTCATTCCAAAAAAAGGGCTGTTGGAGTGGCTCAAGGTGTTGGCCCTAAGTTCAAACCCCAGGACCACAAAAATAATAAATACATATTTTTTTTTCAGTGCTGCGGGGGAACATACATGCTAGAGAAATACTACACCACTGAGCTACAGTCCACAGCCTCCCAAGTTCTTAAAGTTATATAGTGATACATAAATTTCCCTCTCCTTCCTCACTTTTTTCCCCCTCCACAAAAAAGGGCACTTACTAGTCTTAAGTATCTTTCCTACATGGATCTAGATATTGAAGGCAAGAAAAGGACTTTTTTTTTATTTTTTTTTGCTGGACTGGGGTTTGAGCTCAGGGCCTCATATGTTGGAAGGCAGGTACTCTACCACTTGAGCCACTCCACCAGGGAGAACTTTTATATCTAGGCCTCAACAAGAGCCAATATTCTACACTCTTTCCTAAATGTGTTGTTCCCTTCAACGTATTGAGTTGCTAAGCTCTAACCCACTTTTTTTAGGGGGCACTGTCTCTCGATAAGTAGCCCAGGCTGGCCTTGAACTCATGAACTTCCTGCCTCAGCCTCCCAGTCTTTTCTATCTCCACTTTGCTTCTTTTGCTTTCTGAGTTGGGATATCCTCCAGCCAGTTGTTCCTTGATTGACTGCTTTCTAACCTCTCCTCCCCGCCCTTTTAATGGAGAGAAACTGTTGAAGCGCAGTCACCTTAGCACCTTATCCTCCACTGGAGTAATTAGCAAGCTGAAATGTCCCTTCTATTGGCTTTCTTGGAGGTTTTCTCCAGTTGCCAACTGTCCTAGCCTTTTTGTGAGAGTTTCCTACTGCAGAAGCCTTGGGATTTTTCTCTGCAGTTTGAACACCTTTGCTATTTCCTTCCTACCCAACTCACGTCTCCCCCTGTGGAGATACCCGCCGACCGGCCCTCTCTCTGGGGCAACTGCCATATATAAACCCCCGATCTCCATACACCCCCGCCCCCAGTTGCCCCTAGTCTTGGGCGATTTGGGGTGTAGAAGCGCTGTTGGGAGGGGTTAGGTCGGCCGGAGCATTGTGGTCTGTGTTAGATCTGGTCAGTAGTTTGGTCCTCTGGTTGGGAGGTTCTTAGGAAGCGAGGCGCGGGTTTCCGCCATAGACCTGGCGGGGACCCTTTGGGAGCGGAGAGCATAGCGCAGCCGGCTGGCGGAGCCGAGGAGCCCGTGTGTGAGGCTGGGATGCGGGGGCCGCTCGGGTAGCCAGGGCGGGGCAGAGCGGAGGGCGCTGCGGCCTGGGACCCGGTGCTGAGAACCCTGCGGCGGGACCCAAGACCGCCGCCAGGGAGCGCTGCGGCCTCCCGCTCGCCCGCCCCCCGGTAGGCGGGGCCGCGCTCTCCCCGCAGCCGCCGCCGCAGCCGCCGCCTGGGCCGCCCCGTGTCCCCGGTGGAGCCGCCGCCGCCGCCGCCGCGAGCTCGATGCGGACGGAGCCCGGGCCG